ACGCGACGCCGACGCCCTCAAGCTGTTCTTCATTCTGGCAGATAGCCCGCTCTACTTCTCCTATATCACCGCTTTCTTGAACCAGAGGAGAGTGGGGAACGGCCGTGTATCGCGATATGGGTTCCTCGTCAGTTGAAGAATCGAAGGCGCACAATCTGACGGTCCCTGTCCACCGACTTCCGCACGAGCTGCTCTCCAGGATATTCCAACGCACCCTTCAACGGAACGGCGACCGTGATGTGAAAGGCTCATTCCGGCTCACGGCTGTGTGCAGCCACTGGCGCGACGTCGCGCAGACCTCGCCTGCATTCTGGACGACAATCCGCCTCGACGACGACGTGCGGATGCTCGAGCACTTCCTGCGCTGCTCCCGCAACGCACCGATAAGCGTGTATGCGAACGGGTCGCGCGACGCCAGCTGGGCACCGAAGGCGCGGCTGCTCCTGCCCCACACCGGGCGCATCGCCGTACTCGACCTCCGTCTATGGCCCGCCGTGCGCACCGAGGCGGCCTGGTACCACGTATCCACCCTTCTCAGCCTCTCCATGCCGGCACTCAGGTCATTGCGCGTCGACGCGAACGACGTCGGGGTCTTCGCGCTGCCCCCGATCGACCTCGGTCTCTTCCCGCAGCTGCAGTCGCTGACGCTGCACGAGACGGGCCCGCGTGGGACCCCCCGGTGCTGCCGCATCTGACGTTCGTCCAGATGTACGGCCTCCTGTGGCAGCAGCAGCCGAAGCTCGACGACCTCCTTCGACTGCTGTCCTCGATCCCCCACCTGCAGACCCTCTTCTTCGTCAATTGCGGGATGAAGATCGCGCGCAATCACGGCGGGAACGCCTCCGACGAGCTCATGCGCACCGTGGTGCCCCTCCGCGACATGCGTTCTCTCAAACTCAAAGAGGACTCTCGCCGCCCGCTCGTGGTCATCCGCAAGGTACATCTCGATCCCGACCACGGCCACAGTGGACGTCGACGCGGACCATGCCTTCATGCCCTACCCTCTCACTTGGAGCAGAGACGTTCGCGACCCCGGAGCGATCATGGTGATGGGCTGGATGCGGCGGTTGCAGCTCGCATTTCTGGAGAGAGGTCTCACAGACGAGGTGAGTGACGCTCGTCTGTCCGCTCTGAACCGGTGTCAATCGCGCCCGCAGGATGTGCTCGGAGCCGATAAGCTTCTGACTATCGTCGAGGACTACAAGGACATGACCGCCGAACGTCTCGCTGTGAGTCGTCATTACGTACTCAGACCACCGTTCGCTCTTCCGAGTGGCATTCTCGCGACTTGTGCTTGCTCCATTTGCGTATCTGGCGCAGTTCTCGAATATTATGATGGTCGTCCGTCGCATATTTTCGTTGCCCGCGCACAAAGTGCACCGCAGTGGCGAGTTCAAGTTCAGGAAACGCGCCTATGTTCTCTACCTGAAATGGCAGGCAATAGCAGGCTCAGGTCGATGAATGCTCTAAGCTCACCGGATGGTTGTGTACGCACATATCACGACACTCGGTAGGATGATACCATTATATCCCATCTCGGCGGAATTTCGATCTATATCATAGTAGTTCTCGACATCGCAGTCATACCTCAGCTACGGGCAAGACAGGTCGTCGAATGCCCATCTGACGTGTGATATGTGTATGTGCGTACAGTTAAGAGGAGTGTATGTTGTTCATTATTGTAGTATGTGCACTGCTTCAAGTCTGTTTGCTCTGGCGTCCATGCATCGTGGGTCAGCGTAACTTTACTCGGTGAGTCCGTACTCAGCCAGATAATCCATAGTTTCGTGGAAAGGGGCTCACTACAGCCCGAGGTTGTAGCAATTAAAAGCAGCCCGTCCGCAAGGGGGCCACATCTGAGACACTGCACGTCGTGAACCACGGCAGCAGTCTACACAACTCCTAACTCCCGGCCTTCCACTATGGCCTTCACGATTGGCGCGGTCGCTTTCCGCGTTGCATCTGTGTTCTTCTGCGTCCACGCCTTCACGCACCATCCCTCTCCGAACGCGCCCCCAGACCGATCCCAGACCGCAGGCAGTAGGCGGTCATCAGACCGCCCACTCACTCTCAACGAGGTCTTCTTTAGGGTCTGCCTAGGGGAGACAACCACTCACTATTGCTCAAAAGGTGTGAAATCATTTGTAGACGAGCAGTATGTTCGCTCACCTTCCAAGAGAGCTCAGGCCCATCTTTGGTCGCTGGAGGAGCCAACCTTTGAATCAAGCGACGATGGCACCTCGAAATGCGACAGCTACGTCGCACTGGACCAAGTCATTCGTCAGGCTATTGTGCTCCGCGCGCATGGCCGTAGAGGTAGCCGATGGCTTAGGTTCCGGAAGAAAGAATGATACGGCGACACTGCAGGAAGTCAGATTGTTACATCACAGAAAAATTAACGAGTGCGGCTCGCGCGAGTCGGCGCCACGACGTAAGTCAATATTACACTGTCCATCGGGAACCGCATTCAGTGCACCGTGAAACTTTGAGGCTGCATTTTACGCTTTGCAGGCATTGACAGTCGGAAGCTAAGCAGGCTGTCAAGGTGAGTGTACAATGCCCCTCGATCAGTCAAAACGTGCGCGTGTTTGCTCTTGGTGTGCTTTCAGTCGAAGTTCTGGGCTGATGAGCGTGCTCATAATAAGTTCGCAGTGAAGCAGGTTCGTATTTCAGGTCTTGGAGCATGTGTGCTATGGACCTGATTACAAGGTCAATACAGGTACAACAAGAGAGGATGTGTCTGGCGTACCGGTGTGCGTTACCTGATTGCATCTGGAGTATTCAGGGAGGTTCCAAGGCTTGAGCCCTTCTGCTAGGGACGTTGGTGGATGCCTCGGAGTCTCGGACAAGGCCTGCGTCTCACAGTGCCACTCGTCGCACCAAAGGCTTGCGTCTGGCGCATGTCCAGTGAAGACAACACGGACATGGGATCGGTGAGCTGCACTCTACCAATATCCGCAGGAGACGCGACGTTGACAATGATCCTGAAGCGTGATGGAGGCAGGCGAGGGAGAAAGGCCCGCTGCCTGGACATCAACCGGCCAGCCCGGGAGGAAAGAAGCGTGGCAGCTTCATTGACGGTCCTGGTCCAGCATCGTTGCTTGGGCCAAGGCTTACCGATTTCGTGCCACGTTTCGCCGTTCCTGCGTTTTGGTCCAAGCAGGGCTCTCGCTTTGTTTCGACCATTTGCATAAGCGCCGTGGTCGCTGTGGCCGCTGTGGCTCAAGGTTCGGCAAACCGCGCGCCTTCAAAGGACGCGACTCGAACAACGCACTCTCAAGTACCCTCGTCCACTCGCCCTTTCGTCTCTGCGCTCCACCCCGTCTTTCCGACCTTGCAATTAATCGCCAACACCGTGGTACGTTGCTTGGTATCATCTAGGACTCGCTTCACTGACAATGCGCTTCAAGACCAACCGCTTTCTACTTCAACCATGAGACAAGTCGCTGTTATCCGCTGTCTGCGAATCCAAGAGGTGCTCGAGGTTGTCATGGATGACCTCGTGAATCCAGTCGCAAGGACGTGGCCAGGATGGCCAGGACCTGCAAGACCTTTTATCATGTCGCCGTCGCGGTCCTTTGGCGAGACGTAACTGGCCTAAGGCCGTTTATGTCCACAATCCCTGGGTACACATGGGTCAAGGGATATGAATGGATATGGGAGCCCACGCGATCGGTGCGTCATTGTACCGGGCTCTTGCATGCCAGATACTGATTCCATGTCCTCGAGTAGAATGACACCGACTTCGATGTCCGCCGCCTAGCCTTCTACGTCTCTTACATCAAGTCTTTTACCTGGAAATTCGACGGTGACATCACTTTGTACAGTGCCGCACGGTTTCTCCAAGGCATACCTCGCTTGATGGTCCTGCTGCCTGCCTGCCGCACGGCCAAATTTGAAGACGACAAAGATTGGTTTTAATCTGCTCGTCAACAGTCGCCTCTTTGTAGCACCCAGTGTTGGAAGAGCTCTATTCCAACGCGTGTGCACGCCACGCAGAGCCCATATTCCAACGGCTGCATCAAATATTTCCTCGGCTCAAGACCTTACACATGACCGGCCCCCTCGAGCGTGTTACGTGGCCGCCCCCACCGCTCACCGGGCATACCTTGGCCCCTCTCACAACCACACGCATATCGACGTTCGACGCCCACGACCCACTCACCATCAACGCCCTACGTGTTCTCTCTGCTATGCAGACTCTGGAACACGGTCCGTGCGCGACTTGAACTACGCAGCGACTCGAATCTCGTTGCCGCCCAGCCGGGACGACCATTCTGTTCACTCAAGTCGTTGCGCCTATTCGCCCGCATGATCAACAACCTCACGCTCACGCTTATCAAGTCAATTTCCTCGACCGAACTGCAATGCTTGGAGCTCACGGTCAAAGCTCGGGCGCAAAGTCATTTGAGCGAGCAGTTCCTTCTCGCTCATATGACTGCTCTGAGCCGGGCTCCGTTCAGGAATTCCCTACGAGAATTCAAGGCTCTACCTCCACCACGACGAACAGGTGGACCTGCAATGGAATATCGGCTCACAGATCCTTCGGCCGGTCCTGGGCCGTCTGGACTCTCTCGTATCCCTTCAAATATTTGGGGACGCAATCGCCTTGGATTTCGAAATGTGTCGGAACGTCGCGGAGGCGTTCCCGCGCTTGGAGACATTGGCATTGATGGATGAAGGCACCGACCTTTACGCCGGGTCGCTGAGTCCAAGACTCGATACGGCGGCACGAGCTGCGCCTCTCGAGGGCCTCGCGTTCTTTGCGAAGCATTGTCGTGCGCTCACCAGTATCAGGATGCCCGTGCGAATCGAGAGCAGCGTGCTGCCTGCCTGGCCCGCCGCGCAAGATGTATCAGCGACGATTCAAGACGGACTAAATACTTCTGAGGCTCGAAGGCGACGAAGAAGCCGTTGTGTACGACAGTGTGCGGGCGTATGTGGACGTGTTGCTTCCTGCGTATGAAGGCCTATTTATGTATTGACCTTTCTCTACTCCTTTCCTCTACTGCTTCATCTCGAGACCCCCACAACATGACTCTACGTGACTGACATCTTCCGTACTGTGGAAAATTTGTAGTTACTGTGTAGCACTAAGTGTCACTGGCCCAAGCAACACGTATACTGTGTACTTATTGTACAACACATGTGCTTGAACCCTCTGCGCGCCGGTGGCGTTACGTTATTGATTAGGTTACTGGCACTCATCTCGACTTGGTCTACTGCACAGCGCATACTCTGCGCACCTCTCAGTGGTACCTCCTCTTCTCTCTGTTCAAGTGCCTATGATCACCTCCGCAGTCAATGTTTGTCCTGTCCCTAGCGATTTTGTCGCTCAGTGCTGGACTTGCGCGCGGGGTGACGCGAGCGCGTCTCGGCGGACACTCGCGCGCGCTGAGCCGCGCCACATTTGAATTTGAACTGTAGCCTCCGGTGTCATTGAACGGTGCTAGAGCACCGCCTTGTCTTCCCAGCACTGCCGCTTGGTCGCGACGTCGAAGTCTTACCACCATCTCGTGCCGACGGTAGTCTGCTTCAACTAACGGGTCGAATACCGCTCGACTCCTTAGCGGAGTTACATAAGCACTTCGATCTCCGCAACGCGCGTGTAAATCTCGTCGCGCGCGACGCGTCACGGTCAGGCTCGACGCGATCCCCTATACTATCCTCGCCTCGTCGCTCTCTACCCTTCATGTACCATAGCCGTCGATAATCAATGGAGACCCCGGCTTTGCACAGGGACGTTACACACTCATTTACACAATTCAACTCACCCGAGGGCCTCGCGTTCTGCCGCAACATCGCCTCGAAGAGCCTCCCCTGGGACCCTCACGACTATTTGAACTCGAGGGCATTTGCAAGGCTCTCGATGGGATCAACGTCTTCGCCATAACCCTAATGGGACCCGGCAAGACGGGCTTCCTCCTCATCTACGTGATTGTCGCTCAAGCCATCGCGAAGGATCCGGAGCACTGAGCAGCTTTGGAGTGTCGCAAGACAGTGTTTGCTCTCCTTGGCCCGAACGGCGCGGGCAAATCAACGACGTTCAACATGTTCCGCCCGTCTCTCACTATAGCCTGCTATACCGTGGCGAGGAGCTCACTCGGAACGTCCAGGTGTTGGTACTATGCGCAACGTCATTGGACATTTATGCGGACCGCCTGGCTGTACGGCTGCCGGGTGGAAATCAGCGCAAGCTGGCGTTGGCCATCGCGCTCATAGGTGCGCTCACCATGAACATTGCGCTGATGCATCGGTGGCACTAACCTTGGTGCTTCAGGGAACTCGTGCTCGATGAGTTCTCCACGGGTATCGACACTTGAGATGGAGGTCGTGTTTGCTGCAGCTGTGGGCACAACCGATGCACTGGCCCAACGGTATGCCACCTACGAGGTGCATTTCTGTTGTCCGACGTGCGATGAGGTCGTCCGCGCACAGGAGCTCATGACACAAATTCCCGGAGCATGCATGGCAGACGCGTCGCGACGCGCTTCAAAGTGCCGCTCGGGACGAACATGTCCCTTGCGCGACTCTTCGGGTTACTCTCATCGCAAGAGGACTTCGCGCGGAGTTCACCGTACAAAGAGCGGGACTGGGGAGCATGTTCTTGTCTCCAGTCCGTTCTTTGTAGAGCGAAGGTCATCTGAGAGAACGATGTGCTATGAGGACCGCTCGACGCCTAAGCGGAGGTGGCAGAGGACTTGCTGATAGTGGTCAGCCATTGTTTTGCTCGAAGCCGTGGCTCTCGTGAAAGCTACGTCGGTACTGTCAGTATCACGGTCTCAGACTAACTTAACAAGCACAAGGCCCCCAGCCGAGTTGGACAAGTCGGCTTCCGCACGAGTCGACACCCGGGTCGCACGGGCAATCCTCGCGTAGTGCAAGGTTGACGAGATGGATGCCATATAGGAAAACCCCGAGACCGACATACCATGTAATTATCGCACCTGCATAGCCTAGTACTACAGTAGTGGCCGATGATGCCAATCTTAGATGGATCTAACACCAGCCACCGGCAGTCCGGTCATAGCCACCGGCAGCTCTGCCGTAGCCACCGGCATTGCTCGGCCATCACAGAATGCGTCCTCCAGGAGTCGAACGGTGTTGCGGGCGCGTTTTGAAGCAGACCCTAGACGACCGCCCTCCTCCCCTCAGAAAGGTCGTCCTAGTGGGCTGCCTACGGGAGACTATGCCGACGGTGCCGTGACGTTCCGCAATCCCCAAGTCCTTGTCTCTCGCTTTGTTTTGTCATTTGCTCAAGCACCATGGCACATTGGCAACTGTGGCTGCTGTGGCCCAACGCATCTTGAACAACAGGGCCTCCAGGCTATAAGTACCCTCGTTCTTGAAATGCCCTTCTGTCTCCGCCCCCCCCCCCCCCCCCCCCCCCCCCCCCCCCCCCCCCCCCCCCCCCCCCCCCCCCCCCCCCCCCCCCCCCCCCCCCCCCCCCCCCCCCCCCCCCCCCCCCCCCCCCCCCCCCCCCCCCCCCCCCCCCCCCCCCCCCCCCCCCCCCCCCCCCCCCCCCCCCCCCCCCCCCCCCCCCCCCCCCCCCCCCCCCCCCCCCCCCCCCCCCCCCCCCCCCCCCCCCCCCCCCCCCCCCCCCCCCCCCCCCCCCCCCCCCCCCCCCCCCCCCCCCCCCCCCCCCCCCCCCCCCCCCCCCCCCCCCCCCCCCCCCCCCCCCCCCCCCCCCCCCCCCCCCCCCCCCCCCCCCCCCCCCCCCCCCCCCCCCCCCCCCCCTTCTGACCGCTCAACTTGA